ACTGAATCAAATTTGTGTCCCAAACTGCCCTTCAGTGTGTATCTACTGGAGCCTGGTTAACCTATCTAGCATCATATACTTAATGAAAATTGACTCTCTATTGGTATTCATTAGTTCTCAGCTAAGGTTGGGGTTTCTCAAACACTTCTCTACTTCTATGCTGGGATTTTATCTGGCTTGAGCTTTCATGGGATTTGTGCACACTGTCACCATTGCTGTTCATATGTGTAACTTCCTAGCTCTCTGGACAACTTTGTTTCTTTGTGGCTCTTTCAATCTTTCTACCCCCTCTTCTGAAAAGATTTTTGAGCCTTGGGAGGCAGAGGTTTGACACAGGTGTCCTGTTCAGGGATGGGCACTCTGCAGTCTAGTATTCTCTACATTTAGACAAGTTGTGGATTTCTGGGTTATTCGTCTTCTGCTGCAATACTCTGGTAAGAGTTGAAACATGCATTAATATTCTTTCCACCCCTTGTTCTGCTATGTCCTCTGAGCCTTAGGTATAGAAGTTGCATTGTAGATGTGCCACTTAGAGCTGGGAACCTCACCGACACTTATTCTCTGTTTCACTAATTGTGGAATGTTATAATAGCCTCTACTTGTTACAAAACAAGCTTACTTGATAAGTGGTGGGAGATATATTTGTCTAAAACTGTAATGGTCTATATTTAGAATATAGTAAAAAAATTATGTTGGTCTAAAGATGTGACAAATTAGGTTTTATCTATGGTCTATAAGCATCTCCATGTATTTGGCTTTGTATACTGTACCACACATAAGTTCCCTCCCATTGAATGGGCCTTATGTACAATCTGTTGATTACCCCCAAAGTGTCACCACTGCATCAGCAAAAATTATTTCCAGGACTGATCATTGTTGTGGTTCATAGACTTTCCAGCTGGGTAGATCCCACCATGCTCAACCTGATAGATACCTTTATCCTAAAAGATGCTTTATTTCATAAATTAAAGAGCTGATGTCCTTAACATAAATGATATCCCATGTTATCATGGCAAAATACAAACCTTGAAATTATAATTTTGTTCTTTTTAAAAAATATAGCCACTTTTAAATGCCTAGTGATACTGATTAATCAATTTCTGAAAATAATACAGAGTGTATGAAAATGGATCACAATTTGTTTTGTTTATGCTCATCTCTGTTTAAAAAATTCAATATCAGAAATACAATTATCATATTTTTATCTCATAAGTAAAGTCTGGGGGTGGGAGTGAAAGGATTTGAAATCAAATGGGAACTATTAAGGATAAAATAAAAACAGGAGAAAAGGGGCTGATAAGAAAGAGTAATAGAAGGTATGAATATAAAAATGACACAACAAAACCCACATTGTGTAATTAATGTAAGCTACTGTAAAGTACAAGAATTAATAAAAATGTAAACATTTAATATTTTAAATTCTGTGTATCTTATAAGTCTGCTACCTGTGTGTTGTCCTGGACAAATGTGTGGAGATTGTGCAGTTGGACATTTGGTGTGATGAAGGATCAAGCATCCATGGTTGTTATATTAGCTTAAAATTTAGTTCCTCTGGGCAGGCAAGATTGCTCAGTGTGGAAACATGTTTGCCACCCAAACCGATGAACTGAATTCAATCTGTGGGACTCACATGGCAGAAAGAGAGAGAACTGAATCAACTCTTGCAAGTTATCCTGTGACTTTCAAATTTCCATTGTAGCACATGAAACACACACACACACACACACACACACACACACACACGCAGGCACACACTAAAAATGTAAAAACAAATGTAGGTTTATTCATGTAACGTTCTTAAAATTTTGTATTTCTAAGAAAACTTAAAAAGGAAGGAAACTTTTTCTGGAGAGCTAGATGAGACCTAGGACCCTGGATGTTTGGATTATGTAGTTTGCTTTATTGCACCTGGATGCAAATAGTTGAGCATATTAAAAACTAGTCAAAATGAGTGAATTATTGTTGAAAGAGGGGAATCATTGCCTTCAGTTGTCCACCCACTGATGATCTACCAGGATGCAGTGGATAGTATCATTTCAATTGCTATACAGATGTCCCTGGTTAAAATAAATGGTTACAAAACAAAAGCAAAAGTCATGATTCAAGAAAAGGGACTGGTAGGGGTCAGGTATCAGGGGTGGTAATTAAAACTGGAGGGAGATAAAAAAGGATGTGGGGGATGCAGTAACCAGAATACATTATAGACATGAAATTGTAAACTAAAATTAATCAATAAAATATAAAATGATTTTTAATTAAAAATAGTCTTTGATCAAATGAAAAAAACTAATAGATTATCTCACATAGTTAATATGAATAATAAGTTGCTGCAAACATATGCCTCCATTTGTTTTGGCTAAATGTGACTAAGACACTCGCTTTGCAATGTTTATGCATTTTTAGGTCATGGCTTTCAGAGTTTAGAGGCAAGAAATGTTTGTAAATTGAAAAAGGAAACTTTCCAACTATACATATAGTTAATGACTTTTGTGGATTTTTTTCCCAAATTTTAATACAGTTATTTGTAAATTAAGTAATTTAATAAGCATATGTCTTTTGGTGATGTTTGAAATAATTTCAAATGCTCACTTTGGATTTCATTAAGAAAGAAGGAAATTTCTTAGAGGTATATGTTTCTAGACTTACTCCATGTATTAATACAATATAGAGAATATTATTCATTTTCAAGGCAAAGCACATACTAAAAAAATAAAATGAGTTTCTAATGAATTTATTCTTGGTGAGTCTGCCTTTTTATTTTACTTTTTAACTTTAAATTTTGTATTTATGGTATACTTATGGTCGAATATTATCAGAGTGTTTTTGTATTGATTGTATATGAGCTTTCTATTTACGTGGAAGAAATGTTTGTATTATAGATGCTAGGTATTGCTGAAAGATGAATTTCAATCTTTTGTGTCTAAATTGTAGAATAACCAAATAAAACTCTTTTAGAAGCAATTTATCTCTAAAGTAGAACTGTGCTAAAAGCATACTTTATTACTATTTATAGTATTAATTATATTTGGCTATTCTTTGTGTTGTTGTTGTTGTTGAGACAGGTTTTCCTGATGGCCTGGAACTCACTCTGTAGACCAGGCTGGCATCGATCTGACAGAGACCTGCCTGCCTCTGCCTCTCCATTGCTGGGATTTAAAGCCTGCATCATCATGTCCAGTTTATTCTCTTAATCCAGAGAATAATTTCCTTTAAAATATCATCAACTGAAAACCTCCAAAACAAAGGAAATAGTACATCCATGGAATTGCAATATTTATGTGTGTATGTATATGTGCACATGTGTGTGTGTGGTCAGCTCTTCACATATCAGAAAAAAATTCTGAAACCATAGGTTGTGTCAAACTAGTCTTCAGGATCTTGGTTTTCTATTAACAATCAACCCCTGTTACTTCCCACCACTGGCTCAGTATTCTCTGACATGGCAGCTTAGCCTCTCTGGCCACGTCTCCTGCTGCTCTTTTCACTGGTTTCTTTTATCTCACTCTGTCATGAGCTGCCTCTGTTGAGACAGTTCTTTTTCATCTTCTTGTTGTCCTTCCTTCTGGTAGTGTTGTGCAGTCTCTTACAGAGGGACACCCTGCCTACTGGCACCTGCCATTGCATCAAATGATCACCTCATCCTAAGTACAGTCATCAAATTTGTCAGTATATGTGTATACACAATTTACTTATTAAAGATATTTTTATGAAACATATCCTTATTTTACTTAGCATTGTAATATATGGCCATCCAATCATAGATTACACAGGCATGAAATAAGCTATTGATTTAAATAAAGATATATTTTAATGGCTAATTGCAAAGCAGGACCATATATGAAGAAATCAACATAAAATCTGAACCAAAAAATAGATGCAGAGACCTGTTTCGGGAAACTACAAAAGAACCCAAACTGAAATGCTACATCTAAAAAACTTAATCTGAAGTTCTACACCTGTTCTGGGAACTGAGATTTCTCTTAATCTAAGTCACTTATATTCTCTAAGAGATGAGGCATTTCATTTTGCTGACATAATTTCAAATAATTCATTGTACTGCGTATGATTTGGGAGATACAAGTTCTTTCAGTGATGTTCAGAATGTTATTCATTGAATAAAGGCAGTTGTTTAGCTACATTAAAGCTGGACTACGTACTTGGAAGAATAACTTCTTGTTGTGGCTGCAGGTATATTTATGTGTTTCTTATGCAGGGCAGAGGAAATGTTGATGGTCCATGCAGTTTTCACTCTCTCCCTCTCTTCACACTTAGCAGATCAGTATCTTAGATTAAGGCAGAGGTTTGTGGCTTCATCACAGCTTTTATGTTTTCTGTTTTACAATGGCCTTCCTCAGAGCTCCTTTTACATCTTTGTTCCTTAGGCTGTAGATTAAGGGGTTGAGCATGGGTGTCACAACAGTGTAGAATACAGCAATGATCTTGCCACCAGCACGGGAGGACTTTGATTGAGGTCTCATGTACATGAAGATGGCAGTTCCGTAGAATAAGGTCACGACGGTCAGATGGGAGGTGCAGGTAGACAGTGCTTTATACCTCCCAGAGGCTGACCGCATCCTGAGAACAGACAGAAGAATCCTGGCGTAGGAAACAATAATGAGGAGGAAAGGGATGAAGACAATAATGATACTGAAGACAAAAACCACAATCTCAGTGAGTGAGGTATCAGTGCAGGCCAGCCTCAGGACAGAAGGCACCTCACAGAAAAAGTGATTCAGGACATTGGGCCCACAGTAGGGCAAACTCAAAGTCAGGACATTGATAACCATGGAACTGAGGAAGCTACTGGCCCAGGAAATGGCTGCCAGATGGATACAAGTGTTTTGGTCCATAATGACAGTGTAATGAAGAGGATGGCAGATGGCTACACAGCGGTCATAAGCCATGACACCCAGGAGGACACATTCGATCATTCCAAAGGACAGGGAGAAATACATCTGAGTAGCACAGCTGGCAAAGGGAATGGTCTTTCTCCCCACCATGTTGGAAAGCATCTGTGGGACATTGGTGGATGTGTAGCACATGTCCAGAAAGGACAGATTAGTGAGGAAGAAGTACATGGGGGTATGGAGGCGAGGTTCTATCTGGATGATGGTAATGATAATAATATTGCCAGCCACTGATAATATATAGAAGAACAAGAACAAAATGAAGAGGATGAGCTGTGTCCTCGGATCTGATGAAAGCCCCAGAAACACAAATTCGGTCACTGTTAAGTTCATTTTCTTATGATTCATTTTTTTTTTCTGGCCACCTTCCTTTCACAGAACTTCCCACTTAACTGAAAACCAAGTGCTCTACTTGGCAGTGTTTTAGAACAGAGATAAAATAGGAAAAGGTCTTGGTCTAGGATGGTGTCTTGGGCAACATAAATATAGTACAATTGGAGTTTTCCTTCAGTCTTTGAATAGGATTTTCAGACAAAATGAGAATTTGAATTCAAATCTCAGTGGAATAAAGTTGAATCTTGCTGTTCCTCAAAGAGAATTTCCTTTTGCCTGTCCATAACCAACTCATATTCTATTCCTTCCCCAAAAGCTTTCTCAAACATCAACCTTCTAAAGAAGATCTGATTCTGGATTTGTTCCACAAATAACAGCAGGGCAGAGGAGTCAAAATGCATGGAAATAGTAATAAAGGCCACTCCTGTAAGCACTAATCAATAGGTAAAGCAAGACAGCATCATTTGCTGTGTCAGAATCATGCTGCCATATCATCCAGTGTATGGCCATCCACTACATCCAGGAAAGCAAAGACTGCAAACCAGAAAAGCAAGCATGAAGTGCACTGACCTCTGGCTCTTCCCATTTCCTCATTTCTATGCTATGTAACATGGAATTATTTCATTATGTTTAAAATTAGAATCATGATAGAACTTAATTCATGGATATTTTAAGGATTAAGGAAAATAACAAACATGTCAGAAGAATTTTATGCATCGTCTACACAGAGGAACCAATCCAGAAATATTCCCCACTGTTAGTAGTGGTGCTAATAAAATGTAGTGACCCAGCCTTTATTGGGATAGCATTTCCTGATAATAACCCATGAAAAAAAATTGCATTAATAGACGTGTTTAACTGACTACATCTTTTGCTGAGAGCATCTTGGAGCTTTACAGCTCTTCTTAATTGCTGAGTGCACACAATATTATATAGGGCTAACCACTTCCATCCCTGAGAAACTGAAGAGGTGCAACCATATATATCTTAGATAATGAGGAAATTGGAAGGTAAGCACTGTCCTGCTACTGAGAAGTATCTGCCAGAAATTCATCTGTTCATTTGTTCATTGTTTTCTATATCCTTTCTTCTTTTCAAGACTATATTTTATATTCAGTTTGTACCAGATGATGTCTATACATGAATACACATAATAAATAATCTTGATGTTCTTATAGAGCTTATAGCCCATAGAAAGTTACAGTGAAGGAAGCATTCTGGTTCCTGAGGGAATGTGGCATCTTGCTCAAAATGCCATTTAACTGAAAAATTATTTGCAAGTCATGAAAGGAATACAGCAGGCACTATATCTTTTTGTATGTAGAATGTTTGAGGGATATTTAAAATAATTTGATTTGCGTAAAGGTTTTTGGATCTAATAACCATACAAACTGATGCCAAACTATGAAGTTCAGGGATAAACTTGACTCGACGGACTTTAACATATATGAGAGAATGCATAAAATTGGTGGGTGGGGAGGCATGTAGGGGGTTCAGATAGGGGAGGTTTTCTAAATATGATTAAGATGCATTGTATGAAATGCATAAAAATTTTACATTGAGAAATACAGGAAGGACTTGGAAAATGGAGGGAGAAAGTAAGTCGCTGCTTCTTTCCATCTAAATAGGACAAGGAGTGAGGAGAAGCTTCCAAGTTCCCTTTCATATCCCCCAAGCAAAACTTACATGTTCACCTACAAACAGGAGATATTTCTGTGGTTGTTAGAAGTCACTATAATGACAACAGATGACAGCCACAGTTTTTACAATTAATCTTTCTGTTCGTGACAGCATGGCAATGTACAATCAGGAGCCCACGTGGTGAGTAATGAGTCATAGAGGATCTGCCATCCCGAAGACTCCACTATGTGCCTGGCTTCTCTGCTCTCCAGCTGAGAGGTGTGGTAGAATTCATATCATTAACCTGTGTCCCATTGACCTCATCTGTAAAATGGGGGCAAAATATCATCTACTTCATATAGTTGATGGATGATAAGCAAGTTAAATGAAGTAACACATACAAACCCCCAAAAAAGTTAAGCATCGATTGTAAGTGTTCAATATATGATAATTCATAATTATTGCATTCAAATATTATATGTTGCTCATTAAAAATCCTTGTTTGTATAGAGAAGAACCTACTGACCAGCCTCCCAAAACATTGAGAAAAACTAAGCCTTCAAGACATAACAATTTGTAAGGTTTGTATTTATGTTGTATTACTGATAAAGTTTTAAGTAACTACAAAATTTTTAAAAGCACTTATATGTATGCATGCATAACTACATTTATATCAATGTATACTTATAAAGTCACATCAAAATTCAGTTTTTGTTCTTCTAACAAGCATATGTGAGCAAAATTGTGTAGATGTAAAAGAACATCGATATTTTGAGTCAACCTCTAAACACTCTATATTTTGAATTTTCAAAAAATAAGATAGTTCCTTAACCTTCTGAGTACAGAAGGTTTCTCTTAAGAGAAAAGGTCCTTTTAGAAATAAACATAATATCCACAATGAGAAAACTCACAAAAGTAAATGAAATTTATGAGATTTTTTTATGACTACCTGTGTGTTTCATGTAGTCACCTATAGCAATACCTAGTTAATGTGACAGTCTTCAATTACCTCGCAGGGCAGTGGCTGCCATTGCCAAATGCCTCCTTCCAAGATGAAAGGAAAAAAACACCTAAGTCTTTTATGCAGTAGGCATGATTTCCTTCTAGGAATATTCCAAGTCTTCCATCATATCATTTTATTTCCATCCTTTGGATGCAGTCTGTGTGTGTATGTGTGTGTGTGTGTGTGTGTGTGTGTGTGTGTGTG